CAGCTCTTGAAGACAACTCTATTCTCTTCGTAGGATTTTTTTCCTTCCCCTTGGGAACTTGGCTGAACTTGTTCTCATATGGAGAGCTCTGCTATGGCTGGAGCACTCGGGTTAGATACTTAAGGTGTTTCTGTTCTCTGCATCAATTCTAAGCGGAAAACTTGTCCTGTGTAATTCCAGCTCTGACTGATAGACATGAGCTCTGCTGGATGGTGGTTTCTGTTCAGCATGGGTGGGATGGTTCTGGTGAAATAGCTCAGTTCTGGCCCAAACCTTTGCCTAAAACCAAGCATAACTTGATGAAACTCCAGAAAAGGCTCTAAGTTTTGTGTAGCTTTGAGGTTGGTTTCCAGCAGATGTTGAAACACAGGGAGGATGTCTTCTTGTGTTGGAGGGAGTTTTTATTTAAACTGTGAGCTAGAACTAAAACTGTTCAGTCTAGTGTGGGACATACTATGGCAAGATTCCCAACACTGTTAGAGTGACATGAGTTTAGCATTTTGTCTTAAATCCAAAATTCCAACAAGCTTTTGAGCTTTAAGAAGCTTTAAAGCAGATTTTGACAATGACTGTCCCTGTAACACATTCCTGTGACTTCGGAATAGGTGACGTGGGTACTACTTGTGCTTCTTGCCCTAGAAATATGAGGTCATTTTAGTTGGTGTTTATTAACTACCAGCCAGCTGACACAATCAATACCATGGAATCCCAGACTGGTTTGTGTTGGAGGGGACCTTAAAGCTCACCCAGTTCCAACCCCTGCCATGAACAGGGACACCTTCCACTAGAGCAGCTTGCTCCAAGCCCCTGTGTCCAACCTGGCCTTGAACACTGCCAGGGATGGGGCAGCCACAGCTTCTCTGGGCACCCTGTGCCAGCGCCTCAGCACCCTCACAGGGAAGAGCTTCTGCCTAAGAGCTCATCTCAGTCTCCCCTCTGGCAGGTTCAAGCCATTCCCCTTGGCCTGTCCCTACAGGCCCTTGTCCAAAGCCCCTCTCCCCATTTCTTGTAGCCCTTTTAGGCCCTGGAGCTGCTCTAAGGTCTCCCCTTAAGGAACCTTCTCCAGGCTGACCCAGCCCAGCTCTCTCAGCCTGGCTCCAGAGCAGAGCTGCTCCAGCCCTCGCAGCATCTCCATGGCCTCTTCTGGACTCGCTCCAACAGGTCCACATCCCTCCTGTGTTGGCCCCCCCCCGAGCTGAACTCAGTATAGCTGGCAGAGCATTGAAATCAAAGTTGCTTTTTAAACATCACACCAGCCAACTTGACTCTTCAAGGTTCTTGTTGTAATCTTACTTTTTATTGCAAATTAGCCCATCAAAGCTATCTACAAGTAGGTGCAGTGGAGTATAGCTGTGCATTCAAATACAGGATAGCCATCTGAACTTCAGTAATTACATTGTAGTAGTTTGGCTGAGCAATTTAAATGCCATAAATCTTTCTGTCAGTGTAAAAATGCCTGTTATCTGTCATCCAGAAATGTGCCCTTTTCCCCTTCTTCTTTTAAGCAGGTGGTTGCCGTGGAGTCTCTTGTTGAAGCGCTGAGGTTTCAGGGCTCAGCTTATGACAAGCTGGTGGTTAAATGCTGGGGATAACACACTTTGAGAAACATTTTTTAGAGATTAGTATATGAATAATGTGGTTTAAATATATATCTAAAAAAGGTTGTCAGCAAAGCAAAGCCTGCCTTGGGAAAAGAATAAATAATAACAAAGTGTCAAAATATTACAACGAAAAAATACAAACAGAAGTTCCTGTAAATAGCATTTAAAAGTTCATTGACAAATATTTGACTTGTGTTTTGTGCTGTGTCAACATTAGTTGAAACTCGTGCTATGTTTACCTTTGGTAATACTTTTCTTATGCCCTCTTCCTTAAGTAGGTTATTTATTTTTAATGAAACTCTGTAAAATCCATTTTTAACTCCCAGGAAATACTGCAGGCATCTGAGCATGAGGGTTCTCAGTGTAACAGCACAGCAGTAACATTGCATCGACCTCCTCAACTCTAACAGCTCTCATTTAGCAGCTATTACTCCGCTTAGCTTGGTACCCTGCTGCAGTCAGCATTACACTTGGATCTCCTGGCCTGGCTTGTAGAGCAGCAGAGCACCCTTCTTTTGATGGTGATGGGAAGTGTGGGTGCTCAGTACACATGGAAATTGAACCTGGTTTTGGAGCACCTTCAGTAGAGACCTTGAGTCCTGAGATCAACACCCACACCAGAGGGCAGCTTCCGAGTTGGTAGAGGAGCCCAGGCTCATGCTAACTGCCCATCGCTTAAGAAACTGGGATTCAGGACTGCTGTGACTAATGTGTTTGGGGGGTGGCAGGGACTTAAAGGAAGATGAAAAATGGTTATGCACTAGGAAACCTGGGAGTTAAGAGTAGATCAACACTTTGAATTCTATTCCTGGCTCTTTTCCCAATAACCATACAACGCTGAACACGTCGTTTGTTCTCTCTATGCCTTCGTTTGTGTTCTGTGAAATAGGCTTAAGTCTTTTTTTTCTTTGTGGCTTTTTCTGTTAGGTGTTTTCTCTCCACCTTTCTGATGGCAAGCTGTGAAGGCTCCAGATTATGAAGTTGCCGCTGTACCATGGAATTAAATGGCAGTTTTGTCCATGGATTTTTACATTACCTGCAATTAGGGCACTTCCAGTCCTGTTTTAGCACTACAGAACAATGCTAATTCACGTGTTGCTTTAGTACAAATAACAAAAGCATAAACCCCTGGCATACATACTTAGCCCATAATGTAGACTGGTTTGGTCTGTCAAGCAGTATTTTGAATTAGTCTTCAGTGGCACAAGGCTTGTTTTAGCTTAATCCTTAATTTAAATTAAAACCTCTTCATTTTTCAGTGTTCTGGTTAAAACTCATTTGAATTCTATAGCCATTAGGCATCTAACCCCAAATATTTTACTTGGAGTCAAGAAGTAAGAATCGCAAAGTGATAAATACTTTATATTTGTTAGGAAGACATCCATCAGACTGGGTTTTTACACGCATTTTTATTCCCCATAACAGAGTTTACTATGCAGATACACACAAGTCTTTTGATAACAGTGGGAATGGTTCTGGTTTTACTCAAGTTTTATTAGACTCTTTTTGAGCAATAATTCAGCAATAATCCCACGGTAGCAAATAGTTCTGTAAGGGGCTGTGGTCTCCTGTGGGCTTATTATAGAGAGGGAGGTATTTCTTTACTTGGCATTACTGCATAGTTTAGCACTATTTCATTCCAGGAACACTGGAGAGTTTGTTTCTGATTGCAAGGTATCGTTGCATTTCAGTTTTAGGAATGGAGCGGTTTGAAAAGTTCCTGGGTTGAAGGTGAAAGGGGTTGGTTTGCTCAGCGTTGGCTGCTGCCAGTGCTCAGTCTCTGTGTGTGTGGTTACCCATTTCCCAAAGCACAGAGGTGATAAATACAAATACCAACATGTGATATTTTGCATTTACTCTGCCAGGATATAAACAAAGCTCTCCTTGGATGTGTTCCCTTTTCAGTAATGAAATATTTAAGAGCTACACAGAGCTTTTCATTTTCTATATGAAATCAAGCTCCATCGTGCCTGCTAGCGCAGCCCGGGTATGGGACACCCAGATGTTGTCCCAGAACGCTTCTTCCTTCAGGGGCATTCCCCCATGACGAGCAGAGCTCCTCTTCCTCAAGCCATGTACAGGACTGGGATGAAGAGGAAATGATTTTGTGCTTCTGCAAAGGGCTTTTTCTGACATATCGAAATGTTCCCGTTCTGCGTTAGGACAAAAGAAAGAATATTCCCAACAAAATATTGGAATAAAATTGTTGATGTCATTCCACGTCCCAAAATAGCTGTTGCAGGAGCACAAAAAGAATACAGGATCTCTCCATTCTAGAATGTGTTATAACTCTGGTCACCAGCTATTTGAGTGAGAGCTGGAAAACACGAGGTCAGTTGAGCTAAACCCTGTATGATAATCTGGGTTTGTCTTTGTTGGGTTGAGTGGTGGCTGCAGGAGGCATTTGAAGTATTTGTCGTTCTCTGGATATTTCTGTACTTAAATTCTCTCTCCATGCGAGAAGTGGTTACCAGCAGCCTCGTTGCCCGCTGATCCTTCATGGGAGCAGAAATGCAGCTTGTGCTCCCCTGGAAGAGATTGCAAATAAACTGAAGTAAGGTATTTTCTCTGAGACGGGCAGTCTGAGGTAGATATGTGTCTTGGTGCAAAATTACTGGTATCATAAGCTTATTCGAGCACATCTAAACAGAGAAAACAGTAGGAATTCAACCCCAAAACAATCTTTAAATTTGAAGCAAGGTATTTCTTCTTAATTCATTATCTCTCTCTGGCAGTAAGAAAAACTTATTCCAGAACAGTTTGGTTCTATTTCTGAAGTGGTTTTAGTTAGCTCAGTATTAAGAACTTCAATTTCAGGGTAAAATAGTCCACTCAGTGAACTAGTTGGGAATAGCAATTCAGGAATCAGTGTGTAGACAGCCTCTGTCCCCTTTAGAGATTTCTCTTTTTTTTTAAGCCCCAGTCTGCAGGATCACATCTGCATGCTTATTTAAACCATCATTTCCTTTGCACAGAAGCACTACTATGGCTAAAATTGAATTCTGATATTTAACTGAATGAAATTGCTTGCAGATGACTGTTGGAAAGAGAAACAAACCACATCCTTGTGTGCTGCTGCACTTGAGAGGATTTGCAAAATACTATATTAATGCAAAGAATGCGGCCCCCCTCTGAAAAATGTGACTGAATGGTTTGATTTTGCTCATTCAGATTATACCAACGCGTTTCTCTTCAAAAATCATGTCTTGTTATTGTTGTCTTACAATTGCAGAGAGCAAATGTATTCCAAAGTAGCACTGTCTTTTCTTTAGATTCATACTGAACCTACCACAGCGTCTGCGCTGACGCTCTTTCAAGGACAGATGAAGATTGCCACAAAGGAGCTCAGAAATAATTGCAATGGAAATTAAGGATTTTTCATGCTTTTTGCTGCTTTAGGAGACTGGAAACTTCTTACGCCTAAGTTGGACTCAAGTAGGAGCTGCAAAGTAAGCTGTGCTGGTCCACTCTGAACTGCACAGCAATCACATTGCCAACATGAATGAGAACGGTTGCTTCACAGATGAATGTGGAAGGGAGGGGAGGCATGAAGGGCAGTCATTCCAAGTCACTTGGCAAGCCTTTGGCAACAAAAGTGCTTTAAGTCACGAAACACTCAACTTTGTACATCTTCACTGATTCCTGGTGTTGATTTTTCAGTTGTTTGTCTGTAGTTCAGGTTATGGGAGCTGCCCTTCCTCACGTTTGCCTTGCTAAACTCAAACATGAGTCAAATGGTTCTGCCGGTAGTGTTTTAACGCTGTTGTAGTCTAACTGCATCCCCTTTACAGCCAGACAGAGCAGGAACTGCTATAAACTTTTGCTGTTTTCCACTCTGGTATCATCTCCAGTGCCATCTACTACTAAAACCAGAACTCTTAAGGTAGAGTTCTTCTTTTCTGCTGATACTCAACATGTAGCAGTTTTGTATTGTGATCAGAAAGGCTGGTTTCCAGACTAAGTACCATTTTCTGCTGAAGGATCTATGCCTGGGAAAGGGCTGATTGTTTTGGTTGAACTTCTGCGACTCCTCTTAGAGGCTGACATTTTGGTGGTAACCTGCCTTATGTTCTTATTATAGTATTTGCAAGCTTTCTGTAGGGTAATCTTTAAAGCTGATCTCTCCTTTGCCTTTAATCTTTTTGGTTTTACCCTTCTTTTTTCTTCTATTTATAGGTTGTGGCTTTTTTTTTTTTTTTTTTCCATGAGATATCTGAGCTTTTGGAGCTGTTTCAGTGATTCTTGTTCCAGCCTCCCCCACCTGATGCTGTTCTGCTTTTGCTCTTTTGTTTTTCGCTGTTCCCTTGGAGGATTTTTCTTCTCTGCAGTTCATTTTGTTTCCTCATCATCTTTTGTTCCTCGTTCTGCTTTTTCTTACAATGTTCCTCACATTCAGCTTCCATCCCTGGTTCCCTTCTCCCCTCATTTCTCAATTCTTTCTGCTACTCTCTAGACATACAAAGAAACTGGGGGGCCCGCTGGTATCAGTTCTTTTTACCTCGATCCCATTTCCCTTCTTTTGTCTTCTGTCCCCATTGAAAAGATCACATTTCTTCCTCTTTTCATAGTGCAGTAGTTGGCATCCATTTAGTTTGTTCTGATTCTATGGTGCTTTAATAGTGAAGTGGTGGGGAACTACCATAGGAAAGGGAAGGTAGGCAGAAAGTGTGTTGAGGTGTGTCCTCCCACCCTCTGAAGCCACCTTTCTCACCCTGGGTGCTGTGTGTGTTATGGTTTCCTTTCAGATAACATCAGTAATAAAGCTTATGGTACAGCAGAAAGCCCGCTTAGGTTTTAGGGCTTGTTTCCAGGCTCAGTTCACCAAGCTACTGGGTCCTCATGGTTACCAGTAATTCTTACCTTAAGAGCAGATGTTTCAGAGGGGGACTCGAGGAGAAGCTTCCGTAGCTTTAAGAAACGATCGTGTTCTATGAATTACCATTCTGCTGTAGATGAGGTAATTAATTAGGCAGAAGAAAACAGTCTTTAGTACTTTGCTGGGATAATTAACAATGGTAAATGTGCCATTGGTAATCTACTACAGTACACTGGGAACAGCAAATTTCCGTTGTTCATCATCAACCTGTGAGCTTTTTATCTGTTTGCAGGTTTTCTTTCTCCAATAATCCTTTATCAGCTTGCACTAAGGTGAAGCGCATGAGCATGGAGGCCTTTCTCAAGATGCTTACTTAACCTTTAGAAAACCACTGACATTTACAGGAGGTGCCTCCTTCAAGCCAGCATTCCGCTTTTACAGCGTGCTCCTGTGCGTGATGAGCAGTCTCTGAAGGCAACCAGCACAGCATTAACAAAGCCTCGCAGGATGAGAGTCCCTCAGTGTGATTATTCTGTGAACTGTTTTGCAGGAGAAAGACCTAAATGTAGATCATGTTCTTAGTAAATCCTCAGCACTCGATTCCCAGGCTGTTCGGCCAAGGAGCCTGGCCACGTTGGCTCCGCAGTGGTTGATCTCCAGAGATCCCAGTTTATTCTGGCCAACTGGAAGGGTGCTGTGTTGTGCTTCCTTGTCTGAAAAGTTCGGGTTTTATGAGTTTAAGATGCAGTTTTGTGATTCTGATGTCGAGGTTGTCTGCTGATGGCCAAAGTGGGGATCATGCTAAACTTCAGGAAGTCACGGGGGTGTATATATCACTAGTACTTAAATCAGTTGGAGTAGCCTGTCATCTCTGAAATCAGACAAGTATGAAGCTGGATGCTTGGCTTCTAATCATGTAGCAGATATAGCAAGTTAAATACAATTTCTTTAGTACATAGTAAATTAAGAAATGTTAAAAAGAACAGGTTGTTAGTAGTTTACACGCAGTTCCACATGGCCAAGTCACTGCTCCTGATGAGGCCCCTCTGCTTTTCTGAACAGGCACTGGGTAGTAATGTGACTCCCTGGTGTTTTATCCAGTGATTTGTACGAGAAGTTCATTTCAGTGCCTTCATTTTTCCACTGGTAGGTGGCATGGTGTGAATGAGTGACAAATTTGTGGCTTATGTGTTAAATATTTTATATATACATGTATCTTTCTGAAATAGTGCATCTCCATTGCTGCCTTTCATGCACATCTCCACTAAGGACTAAATAGACCAGGGTGATTCAGTGGGGGAAGAGGAAGAGGGGAAAGACACAGCTGTAAATAAGGTTTCATCATACAGCTGTGCTGAAATTACAGCCAAGGTTTAAATGCTTGGTTGTTGAGATACTTATCAGATGGCAAACCAAAATGTAGTGCTGTGACTTGGAGGCATCCTCTAAAGGTGTCTTTTAGATATCTCTAGTTACCATATACTTAGAATTTAGTAATAGTGTTGGTGTGTTAAAGTACTGCACATTTCATGGAGTTCAGTGCAGGGAAGAAAGAAAATCTAGTGAAGTCTGTCAGTGAGGAATAGCAAAGTGAATTTGGATGCTGGGAACCTTTTGATGTATTGGGTTAGGAAGGGAGTCATTAACAACAGTCACATATATTATGCCACACCTGCAAATAGTTTGCCAGGGAGGAGCTGGCAGGTGGTAGAGCTTAAAAATGCCATTCTTCTTCCTGTAGAGGGGGCTAGAAGCATAGTAGGAAGTGTGTTAGATGAGTACTTCCCTTTCATTCAGTCAGTGTGGCAAAAGGGATGATAAAGCTTTGTACCACCAGGAGAAGTGAATCCTTTTCTGCCGGGCTGACACAGCAGCATGTAGTAAGGGAGCATGTTAGTCATAGCCATTTCATGGCTGGTTAAATCCTATGTGTGCTTCCCTTTGGGTTTCACTAAGGGGGAAAGCAATTGATAACCCATTTCTGGGAAAAGGAAGAAAAATCCCTGTTAGGGATGTTCCAAGGTGTTCTGTTCTTTCTCAGAGGGGTCGTGAGACTTTCCCATCAGGGCTGCCTGGTTGTAGAAGAGGGTGTCCTTTGTGCTTGGAATCAACTTGGAACCTCACCTCCACCTGACGCTTGTGAGATTTCTCCACTAACACGGAGCTACTCATCTTTCTCTAGCAAGGTGCCAACAGAAAACAGCTAACTTCTGTACCCTGGTGTTTATGCTGGATTTTGGGCTGGTTTTCCTGTGCAGTTGTCTTTGCCCCTGCTGAGACTGACCTTGCAAATAAAGAAAAGGAAGCAGAAACTGCCCTGACTAACCGCTTAGGCTTGATTTATTTTCTTTTTTTAAGAAATCATTATTTAATTCTTAAATCAGCTAGAGTGTCAGTGTCCATGGAAGCTTTCAGTTGTACTCAATGAGAAGTCATGTAATTAATAAATCTAATTCTGTGGTTTTGACCTTTTCCTGAGCTCTGTGGCCTTAGCCTGACTGCTGCCTTTTGTAGGTAGTTTAAATGCTGGGGGTTTGACTAGCATTTCTCTCAGCAGGATGCTGATAGCCCAAGAGCAGCATCGCTGCATCAGGAGGCCAGAGAGGCAGATGGAGTATGAGTGCAAAGAAAAGGGAGAATTCCTACATTTAGAACAGGATGGGTTTTTTTTTCCAGGTTACTGGTAGAGCACAAAGAGAAACTCAAAGTTTTGTCGAGTTAGGAGGCAACCCCACGAGCACTTTGTGCTACAGTGTCTTTGCTTACGGTCGATTACCTTGTATGTGTTCTGCTGGGGAGTTCTGTCAGGAAGAAATCCACAGTGGTATGTCTTAGCCTTGTGTTTGCAAAGAGTATCTTGTGCCTTTACAAATAGTAGTCTTTAGCTTTAGATGAGGCTTCCTTTTCTAGAGTGTTTTCTTGTTTAAGATGAATGGGGAGAAATGAAACGAGCTACAGCTGATGACAGGGCTGCATTCCACACTTGGAGACACAAAGGTGCAATACTGCCAGGCTGGCAGAGATGCTTTGCTCCAGTTTGCTGGAGATGGACTCTTGTCTTTGCTACAGCAGTCCCTCTGCTCCGTGCTTTTCAGAAACCGCTTAGCATCCCTCCCTCCTTCCCTTGTCCTCTCTATGCTATGCAAGCCTTTCACATACCCTTTGGCTATTTGTGCTTGGTTCCCAAGGGCCACCCTTTCTAGCTCAGTTCTTAAGTGTCAGTCAGTCCTGTCTCTGCACTGATTTGTGCCCTTTTCCTGTTCCGTTCTCCATGCTCTCTTCTTCAGGCTCTTCTACATCTCCAAGGTGCCCCGTGCAGCCCCAGGGCTTCGTTAGGCTGGTCCAGCTATTTGCTGAGGGCTGTTTGAGGTTTCTCTTAAAGCTGTTGTGCGCCAGTCCTGATGCTTAAGGCTTCCTGGAGCTTTGAAATCCTTTTCTTTCACCTCTCCTGGCTGTTCTCGGCCTCCTGAGGTGACTTACACCTCCTCTCTGTCCATCAGATGGTTTTCTTCATAGTTTTTGCCTCTCCATGTTGCAGTCTTGCTCTGGCTGCCTGTGCCAGCGTTCCTGGGTGGAGGTGGCACGCATTGCTGCCTCCTGAGGTGATCACAGCAGCTTTCAGTCCTCTCTTTGCAGAGCTGTATATTTCTCTGGGAAGTCATTTAAAGTTAAACTTCTTTTTTTCCTTGATTATCTTCATCCTCTGAGTTTTGATACTGCCAGGTTCCCTCAAGTAAAGATATTCTGTGTGCTTAATGTCATAGAAACCACAATGTAATTGTATTCCTTTGCCATCCATTCCACATTAATCCTCCAGGAGAAGTGTTTCACTCATCAGCTGAGCCAGTGGTTTTAGTATAGACTGTGAAACCCTCAGTCTTTAATTTTCTGCATGGA